AAGCCAAAGCCACATCGCATGAATTTGAATAGACCATACACCGTGACTATTTCTCAGAACAAATTGCAGTCAAATGCAGTCTCTTCATGGAAAAGTAATAACGTTTTCACTGCCTCACATATGTTGTATGTTACTATGGAATAATGGCTCGTACAGTACAACTCCAATGTATCAATATTTTTTGATTCATCATTTCAAGAAGTTATATCAACTTAGAATCTGACGTCAGGCAGGAGATCCTTAGGGTAAAGCCTGGGTTGTCCGGGTTCCCAGCCTGGGCCATAGAAAAGAACTTTCAGTCGGTCCCCCCAGCTCTCCATTTTCCATAGGGATTCCCAGATGCTCTGAAAGTGGTGGAACTGATTCCGAGAGAATCCATTCGTTAGATGTGAACTTCAAATAAACTTCTAGAGGCATCAGAGAGACAAACTTGGAGTTTGATGGGATTGTAAGTGCTGACTGGGTGGGTGAGGCCATAGACAACTTGATCGCCTTCGGGTTCAAACGTCCCAAAAATTCGATCCCAGATGATGAGCGCCCCCGCATAGTTCTTGTCTATGCAGTACCGATTGCTTCCTGTAAATGTCAAAACTTCAGAGAAGAACTCATTTTCGTTTCCCAGTTTCGAGAAAACATTGGAATTCAGACCATGATGGACTCGATGATGCGATGGGGTGTTCATGATGTACTCGAGAGGTCCCAGAGAAGAAACAGTCTCTGTATGAAGCCAGATCTGGTAGAGTGTGTTTAATTGCATATGGACTAGAAAGTGACTCGGTGGGACACCCAGCAGTGCTATCGGGATGTAAGACACCTGTCGAAGCAAATTATGGCAATAATACCTGTTGTACAAGTAAAGGTGGGAAGCATTTGGAAATGTATCGAATCCAATAATGGACACGCAATTAAAGAGGAAGGCTTCAGAAGGCATTCGATTGCCACGAAGATTTCATTATTATTTATGAGTTATTCATCCCACTTTTTCCCCCCGAACCCTTAAACCTCAGGTAGCACAAAATATTGATTCAATTTTGAGGAGGTGTGGATGGAATGCATCAATATTGACGGTTTATGCCTCCACGTGGCATCGTCATTAATTCAAAGCGGTGACTGTTCATACACCCACATTGAGCCAGCGTATATTCAGTGCTTCTGTATTCACGGTGGAAGTATCCATATTAAATCAACATTGATTCTTTGGATTCCTTCAAAATAGAGAACCCTTGTGTTTTGTGCCTGCTGTGGATTGTTTTTTTTTTTATGCGTACTTCGTCTGGGTTTGTCGAATAGTACATCCAAACAACCAGAATGCATTTCGATCAAGAGAAACGATTGATTTTGTGCAGTTAGGGCAATAGTTGAAATGGCACTTTCGCA